AAAAGAATAAAGATAGGAAAGAAAGTTAAACGGTCATTCTTTGCGAATGATATGATACTCTATATAGAAGATCCCAGAAACTCCATCAAAAGACTTCTAAACTTACTAACCAAATTCAGTAGAGTATCTGGATACAAGGGCAACACTAAAAAAATCAATAGCTTTCTTGTACAGGAAAAACATACTCACTGAGAGAGAAATTTGGGAAACAATTCCTTTCACAGTAGTATATAAAAAAAGAAATATGTAGCAACTGATCTAAGGAAGGAAGTAAAAGACCTCTATTCTGAAAACTACAGCATTCTGAAAAAAGAGATCAAAGAGGTATCAGTAAATGGAAATATATCCTTTGTTTTTGGGTAGGAAGAACCAATATAGTGAAAATGAACATACTTCCACAACTTTTGTATAGATTCAATGTATCCTGATTGAAATTCAACAACATATTTCACAGAGCTAGAGAAAACAATCCAGAAATTAAATCTCTTTAGTAACAGTCTGTCTCTCTGTGCTGTGTCATTGTTTTGAGTTAAGATTTTATATTCATTTTCCTCTTCAACATAGTGTAATATTTGTGGGTCTTAGTGTCTAACCTGGGGATTGATCTCCAGCCACCTTACAGAGAACATGAACCACAGTAATGCTGATTACATAAAGACAGATCATATATGTATTGGCATGCAGAAAAAAACAACTTCTCTCTTTGCAATTGGAAAGAAATGGGTAATAATAATAATAGAGTCAGAGATAAATCTGACATATAAACCTATAAAAGCTATCCCTGGGGCCAGGGATTTAGCTCAGTGGTGCCACTGCCTGCCTTGCAAGCACAAGGTCCTGAGTTTGATCCCCAGTACCACAGAAAATAAAAAAAAGAAAAGCTGTACCTATACCACCCTTATCGATAGAAGAGATTTATAATGATATAGATACAAAGAGCAAATATTGACATACAGTAAATGTTTACTAAATGCAACAACTAAATAGGAAAGAGTTCAGAAGTAAGAGTGTTTAATCATCTCTGGTTAAAAAAAATCAATAAAGCTTAATTGTAATACTAGTGAAAATGAAGGGGTATAGAAGGTGGAAAATGAAAGTACTGACATTTGAGAAAAGGAAGTTTAGAAGGAGGAGAAAAAGTGGAATAATCTTTTGAAGAAGAAAAGAAAGGTAAAAGCAAAAAAAAAAAAGAACAAAAAAGTATGGAAAAGCATAAAGAGCAAAAGAAAAGAGGAATAAAAAAACTGGTAAATTAGTCCCCCAAATTCCTCTGCCTTTTTGGCAGAGTGATTTTTTTTTTCCAGGGGCCCTTGTGTTGGAATCCACATATGGGAGAAGAATAACTAAGGCCTATTTTGTTTCTATGCCCATTTTGTGTGTATATATGTATGTGTGTGTGTGCCATTTTGTGTTTGTGTGTGTGTACTGAGTCCTACTCTGCCTTTCCTGCTGTGAGGGGCCAATGAATGGTATGGTTTCTGCCCTGGGGCTGTGTTCATTGCAGGGGCCTTCATGTCCTTCCCCCTCTGTGTGCCCCATACTGCTATCTCTGCCTGCCTCCATGGCCTTTGAACTTGTGATGTGCTCCTAGTAGTGCCCCTGTTCAAGGACCCTGTGTCCATATACATTTGGGATATGGAAAGCACCGGATGCCCCTTTTCCCTCTACTCCAGAGGGCTTTGGGTCCATATATACCCCCAGAGTGTATAACGATTGGAGGTCAGGCAGATCCCTGATCATGTTGGCAGGTAGGAAAAGCAGACAGCACTAGATTCTGTACTGGTTGTAGATAATGAAGCAGTTACAATGTCATGATGTTTAGACCCAGCCCCCTCAGAAAACCATTTGTGACCAGCTTGGCTTCTCTCTACAGAGAGTAGGACTACTGTGTTCTTCTTGGCCTGAGAGTTCCCCGCTGCTTAAACTTGTAGGGGGTCTATGAGTAGCTTCCCCCTCTGCAGCTAACTCCTATAGCTAACTCCCATGCAGTCACTGGTAGAGTGGCTCCAGAAATCCTAAAGTGTAGTTGTTCTGTGACTTCTTATTTTGTAGTTTACAGTAACGGTGGGCTTTTACTGGAGCTGGCTCTGCCAGTTTGTAGTTTTTCCCTGAGGCTGTTGACCTTCTCAGGACTTACTTTGTGGACCTCTTCCCTGGGAGGCCACATTAGTGTTCCAGACTACTTTGTTCTTTTTTCTCAGTTTTCTTCAGTTTCTCTGTGATAATCTAGTTTTCTTGTCACTGTTTTCTGATTCCCAGAGCACTTCTTCCTTTCCTTTTTACCAAGTTTTGCAGGTGTCTGGGTTCCAGGTCCAGGACAGGTTGTGATATGCTGCCAGTTTTCACACTGCCATTTTCACTCCTTTGTGGGGGAGGGCACAGTACTGGAGATTGAACTTTGGGCCTTCGCACTGTGCTACATCCCCAGCATCATTCCCCAACCCCCTTTGAAACAAGGTCTTAGTTGCTCAAGCTAGGCTCAAACTTTCAACACTGCTGTCTCAGCCTCCCTGTGCTGAGGATTACAGGCATGTGCCATCATGCCCTCTTTGCGTGTTTTTGAACCATCATAAAGTTGAAAAATTGTTAATTTGAACCATCCAAACTCAATAACCTGTTTGTATTTTAAGTAGCTGGTTTAAATTTAAAGTTGAGTACGTATCCTCCGGTATTTTTTGACTACCCCCCGCCACTTCACATACTACTTTATCATTTCTTTGCATGTTTCTTCATTTTTTTTCTTGAGAACGACACATTTTAAGTAAACATGACAGCTCTGAAATTAGAACTGCAATTCATCCCATGCTTCTTGTTGTTAGTTCTATTTTTTGTTCATTACTTGTAGAACTAATTCTTTGTTCTTCATGTTTGGCCCCTGAAGTTTTTACTTAGTTTTGCGTGTCAGTTAATGATTATATAGATTTCCTTTAATGCCTGCAACTAATAAATCTCCCATTCTTTGCCAAGTGACTCTGTTTGGGGCACACCTCCAATACCAAGCCAAAAAGTTTACAATTCTCCCTTAACCTTCATTTCCTGCTTGGGCATAGCTTCAAGGTCAGATAGAGGTGAGAAATAACTCTATTTTTAGGTCTTTCCCAAGCTGTATATAACCCTATGTATATGTACATATTCTTTGGGAATGAGGCTTTAAAAGAGTTCCAGCTTGGTTTTGGTTGTTTTGCTGGCTGAAAAGTTGCCTTGTCAATGTGAAATCATAATAAAAACTCTACAAGTCATTATTCTTAACAATAGTCTAGATTTTTTTGTTAAATAAATCCTTCCTGGGTATTTCAGAGCCCTCATACAGTCATGCATTGTGTAAAGAGGGATATATTTTGAGAAATGTGTTGTTAGGCAATTTCATCATTTTGTGACCATTAAAGAACATACACAATTCTGAATAGTATAGGTCAGTTATTCAACGTGGCCTCGTGACCTCTTGATGTAATCAAGAGGCATAGGAAACATGAGATGTGTAAAGCTGCTGGTGAAATAACAGGGCATAATGTTTTATAGTAGTATTTTCTGAGACCATGATAGAATCTACAATAGTAAATACAAAGACCAGTAGTATACTTCTTTATTATAATAATAATTATTACTATCAAACGTCATGCCCTGTATGCAATTACATATGCTGTATACTTTTATATAAGTTTTAATCACCATTATATTATCTGCTGTATAGTTTTATACTGTAAGCTGGCAACACAGTAGGTTTTACCTAGCATTACTACAAACACATGAATAATAGTTTTCAGTCATTTTAATCTTATGGGATTACTGTTGTATATGCAGTCTGTGGTTGATGAAATGTTACTATTCTGTACATTACAGGTGATTTTTGACAGTTTTTTTAATCAGGTTTTGTTTTGTTTTTGCTCTTATGGAGCGGTAAATGTTTGAAGGTCCTTACTCTGCTATTTTTACTGACTTTTTAAATCCATTTCCTCTTGAGTAGGTTTGGGCAGTTTCCATCTTTCAAGGAATTTGTCCATTTTTCTACGTTTTTGAATTTATGGGCATAAAATTCTTATTCCCACAGTTCACTAACGCATTTGGCAACAGGTTTTGTTTTCACTTGAAATATTTTCCTTTTCCTCATATGTAGTAAAATGCTCTAAGATGATCTCCTTTATGATATCATAGAACATTCTTTCTTGTTCATAGTGTTTGCCTTTCCTGTCTTCAAATAAATGTCCAACCTCTATAGGGTTGCTTCTGAATTGACTAAGATTATATCATATATATATTTGTGTGTGTGTGTGTGTGTGTGTGTGTGTGATGAGTTCATGATATAAATAATGAAATCTGGGGGAAAAAACTTGAAAGTTATTTTTTATGACTATCTCAAAGTGTGTTTCTTTTAAAATTTTTTTTTCATTAATTTTATTGGTACATTTTATGTATACAATATGCTGACATTCATTATTGGGAATTTGTACCTTTACATATTATATCTTGGTTCTTATTTTTTCCCCACTCCCCTGCCCTCTGTTCAACCTCTCCACCCCTCCCTGTTTACAAAACTTTGTTTCCATATTTTCCTTTTCTCATATTTATTTCTTTCCCTTTCCTCTCCTTTACCCACTTCCCCTTCCCCTTTGGACCTTTTCTTCCTCTTTCGTATTATCTATTGTACATTTTGATCCTAACTTACACTTTTGGTTTCTCACACCAGAGAAGGTGGTATTTACACATGTGTCCTATTTATTTCACTTAAGAGTGTGGCCTCACTGTGCATCCATTTAGCTATAAGTGTCTCTAGTTTCTCATTCTTTATTGGCTAAGTAGTACTCCATTTAAAAAAAAAAAATCCCACATTTTCTTTATCCAGTCTCCAGTGTGCTTCTTAAAATTCATATAATACCTTTAAATGTCAGTAATAGATTAAATATAGTAGAATCAATTTAGAAAATTAATAGTTTGTTTCATAGTATACATTTCTGTCTTGTCTTCCAATTATAAGTCTTATGGGTTTTATTTTTATCTTTTAGGCAATCCTTTGTCACAGGATATTCTCAACTTATACCAGGACCCAGATGGAACCCGAAAGCTACTGAATTTCATGCTTGACAATCTTGCAGGTAACTAGTAATGACCAAGTAGTAAACTCTACAGATACTATTATTGGCTAATATATCACAAGTTGCTTTTATAACTGTTTATGTTTGGCATTTTTGCTTTTAGATAGCAAAACATTCTTTTCATATACTGAGTGTTTTCTGTTATTAAACAATATATTAGGAGTTTTCATTACATTATCTTGTTTAGTTTTTCTAAGAATCTAAGTTGTACAGATTTGTACTTATATTTTAAAGGTGTAAATTTAGAGATTCACAGATTACTCATTTACATGCAGCTAATTAATGCCAGGGCTATGAACCCATCTTGGTCACAAAGATGTATAGTTACTAGTTGTTTGAATTTGGTGCGGATTATTTGGAACCTGTATATTTTATATTTTATAAAAAACCAAAATAACTAGACACTAGATGTAGGGTGGTTTAACTTAAAGTTTTCCACTCTTTGTATGAAAGCACAACTATCCAGCCATTCCGTTTTTCATTTGCAGTCCAGTATCCAGTAAGTTATAGTCAGCATCTTATTTTAAATAGACTTTTGTTAAATGATTTTGTTTGATTATAATCTAATAGACTGGGTTGGGCTATGGTGTTTGGTAGGTTAGATATATTAAATACACTTTTGAATTAGGATATTTTCAGCTTAATCATAACCAGTACATAACATCAATGTAAATCAAGAAGCATGCATTGTTTGATTCATTGTGCATTTGTGGAAATTTTGCAAGGATGATTTTATATTAAAGAACACCAGAGTTACGAGACTGAAATGGTCATGTTCCAAAAGCAAGTTGCTTATATAAGAAGGCTATTAAGTATTTTACTTAAATATATTTTTTGTGGGCTGGGGATTTAGCTCAGTGATTCTGTCACCTGTCTTGCAAGTGCAAGGACCAGAGTTCGATCCCCGGTACCAAAAAAAAAAGGAGGTTACCTTCAATTATCTAAATATATTTTTTGTCATTGTTGCATAGGCATTCAAAATATATGTAAAAGTGTGGAGATACTGCTGAATTAGATATTTTTGTTGGCATAATGTCTTTCTAAGATACTGTATTTGGAAAGAACTTGGCCTCATGTTTTTATAAAGGAGCCCTTGTCACAGTGTTTTGGCTATATTCTTTGAATTTATCTCTGTCATGAAAGAGACCTTCCTCTCATACAAGAAAAATAAGATTTACAACAAGGAAAAAACATTTAATATCATCTAAAATGTTTTTTGGCTAAAAGACTTAAAGTTGCTTGATAGAAGAGAAATTAGCAAATTTATTACAGAGATCGTTTAGTAAAGAATTGGGAATATATGAAAGTTTAATTAATATATACATAATATGTGCATGTTGTTTCCAATTTGCATTAAAATATCTTGTTTGTATAGATATAGCCATTTAAATAAGCCGTGTGTGTGTGTGTGTGTGTGTGTGTGTGTGTGTAAGATATGTGTCTTAGATATCAAATCTTTAATGGTATGTATGTTGCACATATCTTTTCCTGGGCTATTTTTCCTGTGCTTAATTTGTCCTTTGATGAAAAGAACTTTTACTACAACTTAATGATGTCCTTCCTCTTTAAGAATTTTTCTGTACCACATTAATGTATCCTATATTATTACATAGAAACTTTGTTTGTTTTGTTGTTGTTTTTTTGGTACCAGGGATCGAACTCGGGTCCCTGCACTTGCAAAGCAGTCGCTGGAACCACTGAGCTAAGTCCTGGGCCCTAGAAAATTATTTTTTTACTTGTAAAAATACTTAGAATATAACCTTGGAATTTATGTTTGTGTAAAGTAAGAGTTAAATTTAATTTTAATGACTTTTCTATATGCATATCATATTGATCCTGAATCATTTATTGATGAGACTTTTTTTGATGGCTCTGGGGATTGAACCCACTGAGTGCCGAACTACTTTCTGGCCCTTTACTTTATTTTGAGACAGGATTTTGCTTAGTTGCTCAGTTTGATCCCAAATTTGTGATTTTCCTGAGTAGCTGGGATTACAGACTTGCACCACCTTGCCCATTTTTTTAGTGCTTTCTTTTCCATAAATCAAGTGTCACTACATGTGTGGGTCTGTTTCTGAGTTCTCTGTTCTCTTCCATTAGTTTTCTCTCTTAAAAAAAAAATTGGGGACAGATTGTCACAGAGTTGCCCATGTTGGCCTCAAACTTGCAATCCTCCTTCAACCTCCCCAGTTGCTAGGTTCATAGGAGTGTGCCACAACATCTGGCTTCTGTTAGTCTTTTGGGAAATGTAAGAGAGTTTTTAATTATGATAGATTTATAAAACTCAAACTCCAGTAGAGTAAATCTCTTTTGATATGATTGAAACTAATCTTGGAAAGTTTTGCCCAAGTGATTTCTTTACCTTGTATTTTTATTAAAATGTTGAGAATTAAGTTTCAAATCTCTTCTCTCTCCAAATAGATTGCCCTGGAGAATTGAAATGTATACAACATTGGGCCTGGTTCTGCCATTTATTTTGCCACCTGGAGTTTCTAAGTTTTTGAACTCCCTATGTAGCCCAAGCTGACCTCAAAGTCAGAGCAATCTTCCTGCCTTAGCCTCCTAAGTGCTGGGACTACAGGTGTGTGCCACCATGCCTGCCCGGATCAGCTAGGAGGACTTTTGAATGAATAGGTGGTGGATTTTATTAAATGCCTGCTCTCTACTGATACAAGCAGATGATTTTTGTCCTTTATCCTGATATAACTATTAACTTTTTTTAATGTGTCAATATCACCTTTGTATTCCTGGAATAAATTCAAATAGGTTGCAATATATTATAAACTTTTTTATATATCCTTATTGTTACATTAGTAATATTTTACTTATGATTGTTTGTATTTGTAAGTATGAGATAGACTGGCCAGTAATTTCCTTTCTTCATTGTTCTTGTCAAATTTTAATGTTAAAGTTATACTGGTTTCATGAAGTTAATTGAGAATTCTGTTATTTGGAAGGGTTTCAGATAAGTGCTTTTTCTTTCTTATATATTTCATATAATACATCTGGGCCTGAGGTTTATAGGAAGTTTTAAGTTACTGATTTAATTTCTTTAATAACTATAGGAATATTCTCATTCCCATTTTATCAGTTTCTGAAAATTGTGTTATCTGGAAATTTGCATATTTTATCTAAATTTTCAAATTTATTGTTATAAAGTATTTCAGAATATTTTCTTACACACAGGAAATTTAGTGAAGTCACTTTTCCATTTGAAATTTTAATTTTATTTGTGTTGCACTTGCACTTCATGGACAGTCATTCACTCAGGTATTCATTAATATTTTCTTTTAAAACAAAAAATGAACCAATTTTTGGCTTCATTATAGTGTCAGAATATCATTAATACTCCATTTCTTTGTTCAGGTTTTATTTACTATTTTTCTAACAACATGAAACCTAAATTGTTACTTTTGTAGTCAGTTTTCTCCAACATATTCATTTATAAACTTGTCCATAAACATGGCTTTTAGGGCCAGGAATTTAGCTCAGTGGCGCCATTCCTGCCTTGTAAGCACAAGGTCCTAAGTTTGATCCCTAATACCAGAAAAAACAAAAACAAAAAACATGGCTTTAAGCTATACGCCACAGTTTTTTTTTGTTTGTTTGTTTTTGGTAACGGGGATTGAACTCAGGTCCTTGTTCTTGCAAGGCAGGCCACTGAACCACTGAGCTAAATTCCACGGCCCTACACAGTTTTAATTTGTATTATTATCCTCATCTAGTTCAGCATATTTTTCTAATAGTCTTTATTATTTCTTTATTGTCCTGTGTTTCATGTAGAAGTTTATTCTTTATTTTCAGAGGAATTCTAGTTTTCTTGGACAAAGATTTCTAGCTCAGTTTCAGAGTGATTGTGAACTTTGATTTAAATTTTTAAAATGTGTTGTTACCCAGCACATTCTTACTTTCTGTAAATTTTAAATGAGTACTTGACAAGAATATGCCTTCTATAGTTGAGAATTCTGCATATACCAGCTTTTTGTCAGTTATATTATTTGAATGTATTTTAGTATATTTAATGGTTACTTTGAATTTATTCATTACTTGTATACCTATATTAATATCTCCCTTTTTTATTATATATTTGTTTTGTTTTTTCAGCCTTTTAATTATAAATTTTAAGGGTATATTTTCATGTGTTTCTGGTTATTAAAACCTTTTGTCATTGCATTGCTCTTTTCTTTAAAATTTATTTCGATACTAATATAAGTGTAGTGGGGAAGCTACATGATTTCCCCTTTGCTTTGAATTTGCATTGTATGTCTTTTCTGTTCTTTTTAATTAATTTCTTTGTATAGCTTACTGTTTCCTTCCTCTGCTTGGTTTAGTTTTTTCTTCTTGTAGTTTGAGGTAGGAATTCATATTTTTTGAGATTTTTCCCATCCATCCATCCATCCATCCATGGAGCTCTTTCCTGTATTTATTCATTTATTTGTGTGTGTGTGTGTGTGTGTGTGTGTGTGTGTGTGTGTGTGTATGACTTCCTCTTTGGCCAGTGGATTATTTAGGTGTGTTATTTAATTTATAAGGGTTTTAAACTTTTCCTGTTGTCTTTTTCTCCTATTTCTTTTTTGATTTTAGTTTGCATTATTTCATTTCTTTTAAAAATGAAGTATGTATTATGATTTAGTATATTGTTTGACTTGGAGAATGTTCTTTGGGCTCTTGAAAAACATGTCTTTCCTCCAGTTTTGGGGTCAGTCTGTACGTGTAAATTAGATGATATTGTTTAAATTCAGTTCTATATCTTTTCTAATTTCTTACCTAGTATAGTCTTATCTGGAGTTATTGGGGTATTGAAATCCCCAAATATAGTTTTGTATTTATTTCTCTTTGAGCTTTGTTATATTTTACTTCAGGTATTTTTAAACTCTATTAATTGGTATATACATACTGAGGATTGCTAATTTTTGTGGATAATTTTTATCATTAGGTAATGATACTCCGTGTTCCAAGTACTTTATTTTCTCTGAAATCTATATCTGATATCACATAGG